ACTGCGACTATACTTGCGCACGCGCAGTACCGCTGGCCGTACCGCACAACATCCCGTGCAAGCGAGTCGCCTATCCACGTTCAGGCTCGGGCCTCGGGAGGGACGAGTCAGCCACCTGGAAGATTGACACCCCGCCGCACTGCCCTGCACGGCCTGGTCATCGCGTCACATGTTACTTTTCCCCTTCCCTTTCCCCTCGGTCCCGGCGTATTTTCGGAACAGCAGCCCGCGGCCTGTTCGACCTGCTCGCGCGGCCCGCGACCGCGCCACCGCGACCTCGACGTTGTCCGGGGTCCTCTCCCTGCTTCGCCTCCGCCCGGCTCCTGCGCTCGGCTCTCGTCTCGTCGGTACTTTGGGTAATGGGATACGTGGGGTTGGGAGGCATCGGGGACCCATCCTCATTCAGGGGCAGTGAGTGTGAAAAAGGTCCGGGCGCGGCGGGGCTGCTCGGGGAGGAGGGGAGGAGCGGGGAGGAGGAGGGGGGAGGCCATCCCCGTGTTTGGATTACTTGCATTGTGTGGATGATTACCCAGTAATGCTGCAAGTGATACACTTTGGTTTACATACAGTACCGGGTGTAACTGAGAATGCGCAACAGTGTTGCGGGATTGCATACCCGCCAGGACTGCAGGGGCCATGGCGCCTTACGGGCTAACTGGGTAGGCAAACCCGCAACACTGTTGCGCATTCTCAGTTACACCCGGTACACACACATACACACACTCAGTCTGTGTATGTTTCGTCCTCCCTTCCTTCTGGACGGGGATGGTGAGGAGCGATTTGGGGGGGGGGGGTCCTGAATAATTAACGTGTATAAGCGCCAGCGAGGAGAGGAGGGAATAAGAGCAGCAGCAGCAACAGTGGAGTCATGAGCAGCAAGTAGCAGCGGGTACGCACACCTGGCGGGGTGTGGTACGGCACGGTACTGTACGCGCTACAAAAGGAACCACTCCGGTTACCCCATCAGCCGCGGCCGCGAGGCGAGAGGCGCGAGGGCGGGTCGAGACACTGCTTAATTCTCAAGCCCCGACAAGACTGTCTGCACACACACTCTCTCACACGGACGCTCGGTGAGCGTGTGTGTGTGTGAGAGAGAGAGAGAGAGAGAGAGAGAGAGAGAGAGAGAGAGAGATAGAGAGAGAGAGTGTGTGTAGGTGTGTGTTAGTGGCGGGAATTACCTTGTCATTATGGTCGCCGGCCGGTGCGTTGGAGCTCGGGGGGGATAGCGCCACAATCTCGCGTCTCATTCAGGGACATCAGCGCGCGGGCCGCGCCGCCCTGTACTACTGTCGGTGCGCAATGGGATGAGCCGCCCCAATCCCATTGGCCGGGCCGTGTATGGCGCGCCGCCCTGCGCGCTCTCTGCATGCTCTGCATACTCGCGCCGAAACCTAAAAGCTTCCTGGAAGCAGCCCGGGCGGGGAGCGGAGCAGCGCGGGCACCACATACGTCCATGCGGCGGCGTCAATGGGGGCGGTCAGCGTCCACCCCGCTGTGTACACCACCTTACACGCCGCCGCAACCCTTCACGAACGCAAGCTAGAGTTGAAGGGACTCGAGAAAGGTGGAAAGGAGACCGAGCGAGTTCCTGGACTGACAGCTCTTTACTTTGCACTGGGGGGTTGTGACGACGTTATGACCTCGACGTTGGCGACTTCCATGAATGGTGTAAACGCGCCGAAACGCGCCCTGCCCGGCACACGCTCTCGTCGGCCGCGTTGGTGGAAGGAGGCCTTTCCTCTGGCCCTGGAACTCGAAGGGCTTCCTCCTCTCTTCGGTCACCTCTCCGGAACTGGGTCGCCCTTGGCCAGGCCCCTGGGCAGTGGGCAGGCCCTTGGGCTTGGGGGTCGCGCTCCTCTGCTGCCTCGAGCCTCGCATGTTTGGCGCGCAATGCTCCCTTTGGGGTGCCGCCGCCGCCGCCGCCGCCCCGCTCGACTCGGTTCGACCGATCGCTTGTGCCGGACCCCGGGTCCGGTCCGGACTCGGCCAACTCACCCGTGATTACTGTTTTCGTTTTTGTCGCCCTTGAGCATCGCTGCCGCTGCGGCTTCGGTCAGCAGCACAGCGGCGCGGCTGGGCCGTGCAGCATGCGCCCGACACCGCAAACCCACCCGCGCCCGATCGCCTGTTTCAATCGGTTCAATCCCTTCCACGGGATACATAATGGATCAAATTAAGTTTCCGCCCTTCGCACCTAGAAAACGGGAAAATAAAAGGAAATGTTTTGAGACATGAAAGGAGTACTTACTGGTCTGGTGAATGCAGTTTGAGCCCCCCCCCCTCCTCCCAAGATTATGTGCATTTCAACATCACACTTAATTTCTTTAATTCAAAGTTGTCCATTCTGGGCGAAGAGAGGGGGGAGTGGAAGGATGGCGGTAGGGAGGGGATAGGAGGGGACGACAAACTGCTTTTCTACAGCTTCGCTCTTTTCGCGCGTCCGGGATAAACACAACACGCCCATTACCCCCGTATGCCCCCCCCCCTCTCTTTTCCCCTTCTGGACTGCGTTCCGCTTTGCGCCCAGCGAAACAATTGATAGAGGCCTCTTTTGCGGCGCCCGGTCCTTTGACCGCCCCGATAGGCCGCCCGCGGGCCCCCCGCCCGTGCCACGCGTGGTGGCTGTGGAAGAACAGCGCCGTGCGGCGGCGGCGCCGGCCCTCCCTCTGATCTGGGCTGCTGGCAGGGCAGGCACCGGGCCGTAGAGGGCAGGTGAGGCAGGTGCCATAATGTGGTAAATGATCCTGGCGGATAAGCGGATAAGACAGCGATACACGCGTTTGTGTATGCAACGTGGACGTTTTGTGTGTGTATGCTGGTTGCCCTCCCCCACACGCATGAGCGAGGCGCCGCCTGTGTCCACACGCTGGCGGCAGTGCTGCTGGCCGTGCTGCTGCTCGAGCATAAGCCGATCATGACGCTGCCGTTCCTCCTGCAGCCTTTCTTATTCATTGACCAGCAGCTCTGGCGCCGTACATACTCACTCGGGCGCGGCGCGCGGCCCGCGCGCACACTGTTGCGCTGCCCTGACAACACCCCGCGGACCCCGCGCCCGCCACGCCCCCGCGTCTCTCCGGCCCTCGCCGTGTTTGTTTACCAAACATGACTCACTGAACGGCCCCCGCGGCAGAGACCCTCCGCGCCCTCCGCGCCAAGCGTCGCGTCCACCCCGGAGCGTCCGAGGCATCATGAGGCGCGGGGCCTGCAGGACGTGAGCGAGACTCGACCCGACCCGACACGACCCGACCGCGGCCCACAACATGCCGTCCCACAAGAACGACGTAAGGGCGACCTCCTCCTCCTCGCCCGGGTGGGGGCAGGCCAGGATACCAGGAAGCTCCGGGACACGGTGTAGAGAGATATCTCTCTACACTGTGCTCCGGGAGCTGTAACTTCAACAGGGGAGGGAGAGGAAGGAAAAATCCCTACGTTCAACTTCAACAACAACGAACAACGAGGGCTATTTAAAAGCAACGTGAAGATAAATGTTGAGCACTATGGAACGTGAATTGTCTAGAAATGTCTAATTTTTGTCCTCGGGGAAAAATTACAAACGACATGATGTTGTCAGGCTAACTTTTGAAGACCCGGTCAATACTCATCAAGGTGTTGTCGTCGGAGCGACAGTGTTGAGGGTTAAGGGTTTGCCTACTTCCGGCGCGCGTAAGGCGTCATGCGGTCCAGTGCACTTTGGTAGTTATACTGTACCGCATGCAGGAGTGCGGGCGGGTTTGCCTATCGCCGCCGGCTCCGGCGCCTTACGGCCCCGACCGGATAGGTAACCCATACTAACACATCTGCATGCGGTCAGTATAACTACAAACTAACCAAAGTGCGCTGTGCGCCAAAAAAAAAACGAACAAATACAACATTCTTGTCCGTGAAAATTTTAAACTGCACATTACACGTATTTCGTGTGTTATTTGCCATGGGATAAATTTCTGTATATTTAGGATTTCGTAGCCACACCTAGCTTATTTAGCTCGTGAGCAGCTAAAACAAATCCGATCTCACCGTTTTGTTCCATTATTACATGTCATAAACGATGATTTGATATGATATCAAATTGTACTGGTCCAGTCAGTGCCACACCCAGAAAAACGTTCAATTCAGAAAAGCGATCCATGTTCGTCATAGCCGATAAAATTTGAGCTCTATTAACTTCTTTATTTTACTCAGGCAAATGAAAAAAAGGCAATAATCTAGCTTAGTTGAGACATGGTTGCACCATATTTGTTGTTTAAAAACCGTCGTCGGGCAATTTCTTTTATCTCTTTTTTTTTTACATTGTGTCACTCTCTGAATGGTTTCCTGGGCGCGTTTCCTTCTTCTGCACTCAGCCAAACTGCCACTGCGCCGTGTGCCACGATGGCTACTCCCGCATCGACTCGACGTCCACCTCGCTCACGCGGGGGCCCTCCCTGCGCACGGCCGGCGCCGCCGGCTCCGCCATGACCCTCACGTCCGAGTGCCTGTCCGCGGGCAGGGGGTCGCCGACGAGGGGCCCCGCAGCGACCGCGGGCGGCTACGCCGAGGGGCCCGGGGCCGGTGAGCAACGCCAGCATGGTGGTGAGCCTGCCGGCGCACTGGGGCTCTGCTCACCTCCCCGCTCGCCGCTCTCCATGCTGCAGGCCGTGCCGCGGGTGCACAGCGGCCGTCCCTGGGAGGGGGAGGCACCCCAGCGGCCCCCGCGGTTCCGGGGACCCCGGGCGGCCCTGCCAAGCCCAGGCCGCGGCCCACGGGCGCAGGGGTGGGCAGTGAGTACGGCCACTTCACTTGCGGGAGCGCAAGAGGGACTCGTGGCACGGCGGGGCGTCACACGCGTCTTCTTCCGCAGAGAGAAGCGCGCTCGCCGACAAGTACATGTACTCGGATATGGACTACGAGCCGGAGCCAGAGCCGGTCGCTGAAATCGAAGACGTCTTCGTCGACCTGTGAGTCCCGTTCTCTCAATAGCCGTCCAGAGCACTTGTCACTCGGGTTTAACCGCGGCCTGTGCTCCTGCCCAACTCAGGGAGCGCGACGACTCGGACCTCCACAAGGTCAGCCTAGGACGCCTTAGAGGCTGCACGCTAGTCCCCACGCCCCGCATCCTCCTCTACACAGTTGGTTCGGCGCACGCGCGCGCGCACTGCAGGTGGCGGGCCGCGCAGAGCCGTACTTTCCGCAGCCCGAGGACGACCAGAACCCCGCGTGCGCAGGCGAAGCGGAGCCCATGGAGCCGGTGGGCCCTTGGGCGCAGGGCAAGCCCGACTGGGGCCCGCTGTCGGGCATGACGGGCACGAGGCCCGCCGTGGACCGCTACTCCATCACGAGGTACTCGGTGCCCGAGTGGCGGAAGCACAACCTCGACACCTTCCAGCGGGCGGCCGGCGACAACCACAACGCGGGCATGTGAGTGCGGAGGGCAGTGGTTGTAGCTGGGGGCTGGTGAGCGACGGCTCCGGGTGGCCAGCGCGCTGATCATACGCCCCTCGTCTCGCCCCGTAGGGTGGACTTCAACAGCCGCGCCTGCATGCAGCACGTGGCCGCCGAGGCCGACAAGAACCAGGCGGACAGCACGGGGCGCCTGGAGCAGCGCGCCATGGACGTGCACCGGTGGCTGGCCGAGGTCCGCAAGGCGCACAAGGTAAGCGAGGGGGTTGCACGCGCGGGGAGGGACAGGGCAGGCCAGAGTTTGCGCTGCCGCACACGTCCTCAATGGTGGTCGGCAGGCGCTGTGGGACGAGCTGCAGCTGCTCGAGGCGTACCGGGCGCGCCTGCGCCGCCTGCTCTGCACGCTCACCAAGTGCGCAAATGTGGCCGGCCAGTGTCTGGACTTGCGGAACAGGCGCAACGAGCCCGACCTGGTGCGCGATGAGCCCGAGGAGGAGCTCGTCAAGGAGGTGGCGCTCATCAAGGAAGTCAGCGAGCTCATGAAGCGCTGCCTCATCCAGGTGCGAGCCCCGAACATTCAGCCGTCAGCGCAACTCCAGCTGCAAGGCCGTGTCCGTGGGAGTTGGTAACGCCTTATCTCGACCAGGTCGAGGACCAGCTGCGTGCCAGCAGGGCGGCCAAGGGCCGGCTCAGCGGCAATTGGAGCGACAAGAAGCAGGCCTACGACGTGGACACGTACTCCGGGGGGCTGCGCTCCGGGGCGCCCACCGCCACGTTCCACGAGGGCGCCACTCGCTTCGCTGACAGCCAGTCGACCCCGGAGAGCTGGGAGGCTGCGTCCCGCGAGGACATCTGCCTGGCGGAGAACGAGCGCGCCAAGTCAGCGATGCTCCGCAACCTCATCGACGCCATGGTGCACGACTCGGGGCGCGACCTGCGCCAGCAGGAGGCGCGCGTGGACGAGGCGGTGCAGCGCCGCGCGCAGGTCGTGGCGGC